CCACTGGGCCATACTCCAACAGAGAACCTGCAATAATTACAGATTTAAGATGTCTGTATCCAGCACATCCCCGCAGGCAGGGATGGATCTTTTCATGCTTTAAAGGACATTTACACTGCAGAAATGAACCTGTTCTCAGTGAGAATAATAACCCCTCATCTTGGGGATGCTGAGCTCTGCAGTCAGGAGAGGGAGCTGTGCTGATGTGGGACAGACACAGGGTCACCTCAGGGAGGGTTGCAATCCTATTTCCAACCAGTCCTTGCAGCATAATGCTATTTAAACATTTCTTTAAAGAGATCTTAATTAATACATCACTTTTGGTTTTTTTGTTGTCTTCCCCTCTTTCTCTTTGGGAGTTTACAAATCCACAGCTATGCACAAAATTGTTCATGAATAATTTCATGAATAGTAAGTTTATGAATAATTTAATATCCCCTGAAAACCTATTTTTAACTAGCTTGCTACACCCGTCTCAGTGCTGCCCTGCTTGCACAAAGCCTCTGTGCAACATCCCAACATCCCTGAGAACCCACTGGTTCTCCTCATCCCACTTGTCATCTTTTCACCAAAATGTAAAATCCCAGCTCTGACCTTCCCGCTTCCAGCTTCATCTCGAATCACACACACCGGTTTGATCCTTTCAGTTGGGGTTTGAACACACCTTCAGAACACTTTTTTCCCAGCAAAACCTGCCCCAACAGCATTATCACCCTTTGCAAGCCCAGATCAGTGTTTTGGGGTTGTCATAGCAGCTAAATCCCTTCCCTGAAAACATGTCTGTACAGTTCAGGGCCAGATAATTACATAACACCACATCCAAGTTACTCTGATAGAGACCATCTCCATTTCTGTGCACATGCCCTGAGCAAAGCCTGGGCTGCCCCTGCTGCCAGCCCAACCTGCCAAACCCTCAGCCCTCAGCCCAGCAGCAGCTTCTCAGGGCTCCCAGGCACAGATTTGCAAAGAAAACCCTTTTACAGCACAATTGAGAGATATCTGAAGGGGTTCACCCTTCCTCTCTCTGCTCCTTAGTGATTTCACATGGCAAGACACAGTGTGGCAATTAAACTCCAGGTAACTTCAACTTTGCAACTCCTGGGAGAACACAGGAAAAAGATCCAAAGCAAATCTCAAATTTAAGTGATACAAAAGTTATCAGATCTTTCACCAGTCCAGGTGTACCTAATAAACCATCTATAGGTACACCTACATCTATAGGTTTATGTACCTATAAACCATCTAGGTACATCTATTAGGTGTACCTAATAAACCATCTATTAGGTACATTTTGGGTAATAAACCATATATATTTTTTTATAGGAGATGATGCTGTATGAGACATTTAGCAGAAATATGAAGCCAACTATTTATAACTTTTCCCCATGAAAATGTCAGAAATAGAGATATTAAATGAAGCCATGCTGAACTTATAAGTGCAAAGGACTCCTGGGTCACGCACATTGCCTGAGTTCATTGCAGAAAGCTCAGTTTCAAAAGGAGAGATTTCTTCACAGGTTTCCTCAGAATCGGCTGAGGAAGAGGAATGGGTGGTGGAAGGTCTTCTATGTGGTGGAAGCCCATTTCTCCTGAGACAGCAGGCAGTGTGAGCACTGGGCAGGGTGCCTGGCACCAGACACAAGGATCCCTGCTGAGAGATCTGCCAGCAGGTTTCTCCAGGGTTCACTTCAGATTTGTGAGGAGTGGTTCTATTAAACAGCAGCTTGCTTCCAGGGCTTCAGATATAGAGAAACTTAAATTGCAATGAGATTAAGTATGTGGATCTCTCTCTGTTTTTTTTTTGTTT